GGTTACTAAGATTTCTGCTCGAATCTAGGGGTGGGCCACCTCAATTTATTGTCACAATTTGGGGGTGGGTCACTGTAAACCAGTCTTTAAAAAATCAATTTTCATAGCCCACCCCCCTCTACTTTATGACCGGTCCCTTAGTTTCCCGTCATTGGCCGTCAAAGAATCTGACACGACCCATTACTCCATGAAAGCCAGGTCCTTAAAAATCCAGTCAGCCACGTTTCTACGGACTGTTTTTGTTTTTTGTATGCAAAAATGAAAGCCAGGTCCTTTTATTACGTTCGAAAATCAAAACGTTTAAGGGAGTGGTCATTATTTATGGGGGGGGGGTAAATGGGAGGGGGGGAAGGGAGGGTCAAAAAAGTTAAACTTAAATACCATGAATACCATTTGAACTTAAATACCATGTCTAGAGTTCTGATTTCTATAATCACAAATAGCAAAAAAGAAGACTCTGAAAGGCCCTGAAAATGCCATTTCCAACGATCTAGAGACTCAAAATTTCCCTGCTCGGCGCCAATCGTGGTATCGCCTCATTGGAGTCGGGCCCACTAAGTTTAACAAGCTTCCTACCCCCCAAGGCCCTGGGATCGAAGTTGCCTACCCCCTGAGTAACCCAGTTGTGGTATTTACAGAAACATACCATGCAAGTACACTTAACTGATCAGATTCGGTCTATCAAAGCACAATGTAACTCTGTATATCCAAAAATCTGTTCAGAAAATGCTCACATTTCAGTCCTAGAGGTGGAAAAATACAAAACATTTTCTAGGGGAGAATACCCCCAGACCCCCCTACTAGTACATACGATACACACCAAACTTTTTGTCACCAACAACCATCTGTCATCTCTCCACACTCAGTATAGTATGGTCCCTTTTTGTAGATGCCCACCCCCCAGACAAGTTCTTAAAAAAACCCTGTGTTCAAATCATTTCGCTGTATGAAGACGGGCCATGGGTTAGGGTTATGGTAGGACAAATGTTGCATTGCAAAGTAGTAACACATCATACATATATTTTTAATCACATATGGTTGAATCATATTCACCAGGGTAAAACATTATGAGCTAGATTAAAGTCATTAAACAGATTGTCCTAATACTAACTTTACCTGCAACACACACCTGTTTCATTGCTGTTAATTTTTCAAGGTAGAAAAGTTTCTACTTCTATGAGGGGGGAGGCACAAAAAGTTTGCCTTCAGTCTGGAGGGGAGTCAAAAAAGGTTTCAATCCTTATTTTCCCCATTTACCCCCTCCCCATAAATAATGACCACTCCCTAATGGAAGTGTCTAGCTGTAGTAAAAACGAACAAAAGCAACAATTCATTGTTCATGCCCTTTCATAAAAGTTTCAACAATTTTATTTCGATTTTTACATATTATATTATAAATATGTATTTCTTGAAAGAGAGATTATTCGAAAACTGTGAATTTTTCTTTATTCTTAGTCATAAAGGTCAAATAATGGAAACAAAGTTAGCAATCAAATGGACAAATCATGCGGCCCGTCCTAGGAGACGCGGACGGAGGACGGGGAACAGTCTAATTTGGAGTGGCCTAATGACCTTTAATTGCTCGTTTGCAATCGACGCCATCTTGGTTGATTTTCGTGGCAACTAAAAATCTATATTCTTCATTCTTTGTTTATTGTGCCAGAAATCGTAAACAGTATCCATAATACAGTAAGATGTTTTCAAAACAAACCAAAAATATTAATATACGCTTGGACAAAACTTTAAAATCAATCAGCCTAATGACATGTGGTGACGTCATGTGCAAGCAAAGAATTGGAACAACTGAACAAGTCTTCAAAAGTGAGCTTTCTAAATTAGCGGGTTTCCAGGCTAAACTTGCGGTTACTTGCCTTGTCGAAGCCCAAACTTTCGGCAATAATTGATCAGTGATTTTCAGTGATATTGATCTGAAACCTCGTTCCTGGGGTCTTCATGGTGGTGTGAATACAGTATACCAGGTAGGGGCGAAATTTGGTAAAATCTTACTCGATTTTAATGGACTTTAAAACACAATTCTGTGTTCCTTTTGTGCTCTTCGGAATGGATGATTCCAGACGAAATTGTGATCCAGACAAGAAGAACGAAGTCCATTAGACCATTACCATAGCTGGAAAGAGCATCTTAAAATGAGTACAATTGCAAAGTTTGGTTGCGAATTGTGATTGAAAATATAGCCCTTTGAAGTTCGCAAATTTTGTATATATTTGCATTACGAAAGGGAAAAATAACCATTTTTTAGGCGAAAGTGTTATTTTTACCGCGCGTCATTACAAATATAATGAAATTTGAGAGCTTCAGAATCACAGGGCGATATTTTCTTCACTTTACAACATTTAGCTACCAACCTTTGCACTAGTTTTACTAATTCTAAGACGCTCTTTCTAGCTGTGCCTGAGGTGTTGAATTTCGTTCTTCTTGCTGGATCAAAATTTAGTCTATAGCTGGAATCACCCATTAGTTTTGCCGCGTGGATATGGCGGGGCCCGCGCGGGGGAGTCAGCTCGGAGTGAAAGGTTCAAAGTCAATAAATTAATGAATGTTCTTTCTGCCCGAATGTACATTCGCTGTACATCCTACGCACATGGAAGTGGTTTCTTTGAACTATATATTCAATTACTCGTTTTCTACGAATTGGGTGATTTCGATCCCGTTAAATTTTCATATCTTTCATGTCTATAATAGTATAAACTATATACACTGATGCATGATTGTACATTAACTCTCGGCGATTTTACTTTTATTTTGTCAAATGAATGAAGTCAATAATAATAAAACTTACTTTCAACGGGTGTGGATTGTTTCTTGACGATGGTTCTGTTCTTATGAGTTCAGTTTTCTGAGCTGGTTTTGATTGAAAATCATTTCTATACGTTGGAATTTCAATCTTATCATCTTTTGGATATATTGATGATGAACGAGGTCTGGAAAATATATACACTCGGCCTCAGGAATAAATTTTATACTCATGGACACAGCCACAGCAGGATATCAGATATGGACGGAAGGAATGAAGCCTATAGACAGACAATCGTGTATACAGTATACGGACACTATATACCCAAAAATTAACTCTTTTAAACAGACACGTCCGAGGACACGTCTGCGGTGTCCCAAGCTGTCCGTTAAATCGTTAATTTATTAGATCGACCATTCCTAAACTATTGTTTATCTATTCCTATATTTGTTTGATGCTTTTTTCCAGACTATCAGTTATATCTTCCTGCTTCAACAGGCATTCAAACTTGCAATCGTGTTGAAAAGGCCAATCGAAGCAGAAAATTGGAATGTAGATAAGGCCCGTTTCAAACGTGCTTCTGTGCCGAACGCATTAAAAAGAACAGATAATCAGTTGAGAAGCCTAATTTATCTATGTATTGTTGTTTAATAATGCGTTGGGCACATGATCGAGAAGCACGACGTTTGAAACAGGCCTTAGCAACTGATATCGTTGTCTTATATTAACCTTGCTGATCCAGAAGGGTGTCCAAATTCACCGATGAAATCTTTTTTATATGTTGATATGTATGAATCATTTCGTGCGCTTGAGCTTCGGTGGTCTTGTCTCTCCTGCTGCATTTTAACTTTAGGAAAAAATAGATAATTTATATACTAACTACAGAGTGTATCAAAAACCTGCAAACCTTTGAAATACAATGTTTTTAGAATTTGCATGATTCAGAACTAATTGATCCCAAGCGTGCGTAAACACAATAGTTGACCCATTCGCAGTCGAACTGATAATTAGTTTTTTGCATTGCAAATAACTTTGTGTTATTCTAATTTCTATCAACGCAGTTAATTAGAATGTATTTTCAAATCCCAGGAGCAAAATAAGTAGCACATACATTGAAATAGTGCTAGTAAGCAGCAGAATTATGCAAATTATAGTGTTTGCAGGTTTTTTGATACACCCTGTATACAGTACATGCACAGAATGCTGGTTATACTTTAATACCGGCAGTTTCACGCTAGTGTCATTGTTCATCACAATCAAGAAGCTAATATGATGTGGCAATTAACATTAATGACTGAATATCTAGCATCGATTATACAATAGTCAATACATACCATCAAATTTCCATGAGTTAAGAGGCCTGAGAGTTTGCTTTGGTTTGCACTTCAATACCAGTGTTTTGATGCTTTAAAATGCAAATCACTCTGTATATAGTATTTATATTGGAATTTATACGTTGACAAACGTCTTTAGGGGCTGATTGTTGCGTAAATAATTAGAATAATCATAGATTAGCTTTTTGCCCAATTTATGACGAAACAATCGTTTCTAATTAATTGGCTTAGTTTGGATTATTTCATGCATGCATGCATGGTAGTAAAAAATTCTTCTTCTGATGCGTGTGAACGAAGACGCTAGCCTGCGTAGCGGACAACGCGTTGTGACTGGGGCGGAACAAAAGGAAAAAATGGCTGGTTTCAGGGATGTGAAAAATCTACAGAAAGCGTAAAGAAAATTTGAGCACGGAACTCCGTGTTTAAGACTCGATGCATGCCCGAGCGCCACGCGCGAGGGTAAAAATTTCAACACACATTTTTGGGCAGCCTATGGTTTAAGCAATTTTTTGTGAACCCTTAAACTCTCTCAATGGTGTCCAGTTGTTTGCGCGAGTTGCAGAATGCAGATATGCCTTTAAATACAACTATTGAACTATTTTGACCGCAAACAATTGAACTCTCATCTTCGTTTGACCGGTGCTTTAATCTCCTATGACTCGCAACTCAACCTACAAATTCAATACGAGCAAAAAAAGATTGATTTACATAAATTTTATTTAACATTGATATATATTCTAAGGTAAAAGATATAACTATAAACTATTAAACGTTTGTGTAGTCGTGAGTATAACGTCTCCTGACTATTTACATCTACACTTATAAGAATGTTTGTTCCCTACCTTGAAGATTTACTCAATATCAAGGTGGCTAGATATACTCAATAGCCAATAGCCAATACTAACAAAACGCCTATTAAAGGAAGAAATTCCAAAATGACAGAAAAAATCTAAGATAAGGTAAGTCTTAAATCCCAACATCTAACAAAATTCAGGGATGTCAAAAGACCATGTTACAAGAGATAATTTTTGCTCCAACTTGCACGCAATGTTTTATAATACAAAGAGCCGGGAAATTTTATATCTCTTAAGGATACACGGGTAAAAATTGATCATGTTGTTCGGCGTTGTTCAAAACAGGAGCGAACAATGTTGTGCTGCACCCCGTGAACAATATTGTTAACAAGTTGTTCAACCATCAGTACTGTTGCAAGTTGTTAACATGATTGTCAACAAGTTGCAACAATGTTGATGGCACGGATTTTTACGCGTGTATGTTATGTAAAGAAAGTGTCAGCAGAGCAGAATACGGGCCATGCTCAAAGTTATCTGTGAATACTTTATAGATAACACGGTTACACGGCTCTGTATTCGAAATTGTATTGCAAGTCTCAGCAAAATTTGCCTCGTGTAAAATATACATTTGATTTTTTTTTAAACTATATTGAGCCACCTTAACATTCTTACAATATTAGCTTATTGTAAATTTATATATAACCTTAATAAAACACTGATTTGCATGTGGCATTACCAATCAACAAACTGTATATATGGCTAAAATATATGCTATCTTTGAAGTTTAAGACAATTTCCACTTAATGTTAATCATATCACTCTTACAGAAGCCGAATCGCTTACATCGTCGATATTATCTAAGTTCTGCGTGCTTTCCGCAGGTGGACGTAGCTTTGGTTGGATCCATTTATAGAGAAGGTAGAAAGCAAACCCCAAAACATACACTAACGGAGTGTAAGTAAGAATGTCAATGATTGTCACCATTGTATCCTTAGCATTTGCGGAAATGTTATTTGTTGCTTGCGCAGCAATGATACTGATGATTGTCAACGTGGTAAGAAGCACACCATCTACTCGGTTGATCCAGTTGTACTTCTCCAAATATGGCCAAAGGTAGACATGAACAGTGAGGACGATGACACAGGAAATTTGCATGAATAATGCTTTGACGGCTCCATAAGGTATGAATGTTGCAAAGAGAAGAAAGAAAAATCTTGAAAAGAAGTAAAAAGCAGCATACCATCTGTATCCGTCTTTGAAGCAAGATTGGAACGTATCAAACAACGGAGTCACATAGACACACAATCTTACACGTCTAGTAAAGAATGGAGTAAACATAAGAATCAATGGAAATGGAATGACAATAAAGAGAAGAATAAGAATTGCTGGAACAGCAAAACAGTTGTGGTAGGAACTGAAATAGGTTACTGTTCCCTGATAAAACACAACAATTTCATCTCCAACTTTAGAAGGTCGGAGTATATCCATGGAAACTCTGGCCAAAGTGGAGTAACAGAGTACAAAAAGTGTGCAAGATGCACGAAATGTTGAATTTCTTGCAAAGTAACAATTAGGAAATCTTCGAGCAACCAAGGAAATTATGAATACCACAATAAAAACATACACAGGCAACAAGTAACTGAAACCAAGCTTTTGTAAATTATCCATTCCTTCCCACAAACAACTACCAAAGCCATTGATAGTTATCTGTGCCAAGCCAATTATAAACTCAATAAAAGGATCTAAAGCAATGTCACCATGCACACCTGTAACAAGACTTATTACTTGATAAAAATATAACCAGACATTCAGGTAACATGTAAAAACGTCCAGATTAATTTTGAAGATAACAAAGACTAAAAAGGTGAGACAAAGTAACAAAGGAAACAATCCCCACAAATTAGAATTTTTACAATCAGAAGAGCAAGACTGAATACCAACTTTAACACTAGATCCATATTTACACGAACCACACATTACACCCATTCTATTTCCATTGCACATCTCATCTTGCTTATAAACACACTCATCTGCTCTTAATGAATAGCGATTAGGCTTGAGACAATTACAATATCCTGTTGGACATTGTGCTGTAACAAATACTGTTTCACCTCTGTCATCCTCAACCTCTCCGGCCCAGTAACCCTTTTCAAGGTACACAACAGAATGTTCTTCATTGCAACGCGAAACCCCTTGACGCCTGTCAACTGAAGCACATACACATTGTTTCCCTTGCAACACAAACCCTGGATTACATTTTTTCAACTCTACATTTTCTAATCTTCTCTGAACAAACTGTCCACCAACTGTTCTAAAATCAACAGAAAAGTTTGTTCCTGATTTTCCTTTCAAGTCAATAAAAGAGATATTATTCCTGACAAGAAACAAGGAGGACGGTGTTCCCAATGTTACAGTAGATGGGTCATTAGCTGGGTGTATGCTAACATGGATTATTCCGTACACTGAATTATTTTTTTCATCAAGTAATGTGACTTGTGGTGAGAATAATTGGGCTGGTGGAACAGACCAATCTGACTTCTTAGAATTTATGTGGATAGCATCTGTGACAATCTCAAAATGTCGCTTTACTGTGCTGTTTGAGGCATTCTGATGATAATAGTGAAAGCCTTTCCACTCTAGTACTCTAACCATATCTTCATTGGGACGTATACAATCACGTAGAGAATTGGTATATATCGAATAGCCTGTAGCATATGGTGCTTTATTTTCAATAAAGATCACCTCTGTTTCCCATTCATCTGGATGTTTCGTTGAATCTTCATACTTAAAGAAACATTCATGAGTTTGCAAATAATTGTTTCTGACAATCGGTACACTATCTGGTCCGGGTGTTTCAACAAATATAGCTCCGCCATTCTCAGATGCAGTATTACCATCAAAAGTGAGCCTTGAGCCTTTCTTTAAAAGAAATGATGCTTCACCATACATTGCGACAGCCCCACCTTTATAACCAGTATTTCTGGTAAATGTTACATTTTCATATACTTGTACTGACGATGTGTCAAGGATCAATGATGTGTTAGTATTCTCAATAAAATGAACATTTGTGAGGAAAAGTGGAACCAGAAAATCATAAACAGTTCCTACACCCCAGCCATATTTTGAAACATCTCTCATGGTATTTGCAATGATGTGACAATCTGAAAGTTTGACTTTAAAAGGACTGTTTGGTCCAAACAAACCTTGATCATAATCCCATAACTTTAGTGTTAAAGCAAAACCAGTTGTGGCTTCATTGGCCTCCCAAGTGCAGTTATTAAAATAGTAACTGTTGTCAATATGGCCCAAACTTGTCCGGCCGAAAATGGTCCCGCCTCCCCCTGACGCAGCAGAATTATTGGAAAACCAACAAAATGCACTGAGGATGTTATTAGGTATATACTGACTATCAGATTGGTTTATTGATGAAATAATACTTAACTGGAAAGCCCCTCCACCAAAGCATGCCATATTTCTAGTCACATTAGTATTGGTAATTTTGATATTATTTCCATTTGCAGTATCCAAGAACTGAATGAAATATCCACCTCCCCAAATTGCTTGATTGTCTTCAAAGATACATGAATCAATAAAGAAACTGTTGTTTTCTGCTGATCCTCGGATGTATATAGACAGTCCCCCGCCGCGACTAAAACCAATATGCTTCAGTCCTCCTGGACGTTTGAATCTGCCATTTACAAGTTCTGAATAAGGTGCAATATTTCCTTTAAAAATTGATTGCAATACATGGTAATTGCTAATGCTGTTCTTCAAATCATTTCTATCACTTTCATCATATGTAAATTCAATGTATAGCCCTCCCCCAGCTTTAGCCATATTATGTAAGTTCCTTGCGTTTTCCATGGATTCCTGGTACTGACAATTCAAAGAATTTGGTCCATTATTCTCGAAAGTGACAGAATCAATAATTACATGTCCTGTAGTGTCATACATAGTCACACCAATGCCCAAACTTTTCTCAATAACAATATCCTGCAGCTTGAAATCTGTATTCTCCTTCACAAATAACGCTGAGTAAAATAGAGGATTATTGTAGGATGAACTGTTGTGAAGTGTCCCACATGATACCAGAGAAACATCCTGAATTGCAGTATTACGACATCTGATGAATGCCAAGCCTGAAGAGTTTCCCGAACATTGTATACTCACATTTGTGATGTTTCTAGATTCACCCGTGATTGTTAAACTGTTCATATTTTCGAATATAAAACTTGTATTTAAAGTATAGTTCCCTGAACTGATCCGAATTGTCGTGGAGTTCTTGAATTTGTCTTGAACAGCTACGGCACGCAAAGCTGACATGAGCGAACAGCCCTCCTTTGATGTCGGACACTTTTCGTAATTATTTAAGCCGTTCACATTTACGTTGATAGATTGCTGAATTCTAGCATTAGTTGAAGTAACTGTATTCATACAAAGATGTAATACAACTATTACAAGACTTACAAATGTTATCATTGAACGGTGCCAAGCCATTTTCGACGCACTATTTATCGTGAAATTGTGCCAATTGCCAAACCCTGATCTGTACTGGATATTAACGATATTAACTCATCTATTGTTGAAAAGTGGGCCGGAAGTGCGTCGGGAGTTACATGATCCATGACGGCGGAATTTCCGGTGTCACAGGAATTTCTGCCTCCAGTAGATTCGCCCCCTCTCCGAAAGGAGGGCAATTACCCTATGAATATCCCCCCTTTAGGAAATTCGCCTCCCTATATAAATTTTAAATTTTTTGTCTAAAAACAAAACGATTGCAAGTTGAAAAGAGCGTTGAAAGTCTTGAAAAATGAGACAAAATTACATAGACATTTTAGGCTATTAATAATATATTGAAAAATTCTCAATTTATAGGACGAAATGTTTCTGGGCTTTGAATGGGTACGACACGTTGTACATACTATTAAAGACCATCTATTTTATATTTTGAAATTCGATCAATTCCATCATGTTTGTCTACAATGATAATGTGTTTCAGTGTTTTAATACAACATAGCCATAGAAAAATAACAACACGCTGAGGCGAATGAAACTAAACGTATTTATTCTATAAACACGACAGTAAATTTATTAATAAATTACTAAATACCATAAACACGATCTATCAGTATAAGAATGACCTAACCAATTCAATTATTTTCAATCAATGCCGTCAATGAATAATTTTGTGAATACTGCATCGGTAGAGACAAGTATAGACTTTAAAGCCCGCCGCACACGAACCCACTTGTCTCGCGTACTTGTTAAAAATTTCCTCGTGTGCGGGCAACATTTACGGCATTTACGTCATTCGTGACATGTTGCTCGCCGCACACGAGAATTTTTTTGTCACGAATGACGAAAAATATGAAACATGTTTGATATTTGGTTCACATGTCACGAATGACGAAAATGCCGTAAATGTTGCCCGCACACGAGGAAATTTTGTCGATCCAACTTGTCACGAATAACAAGTACGCGCGACAAGTGCGCTCGTGTGCGGCGGGCTAGTGCTCTTTAAAAAAACATATAGTTTATTAGTTTATGCATGTGTCAGTTAAAAAAAACAAAACAAGTTTTGACAATACTAATAATTACAATAGTCAATAACCACCACGCCACGGTGAATCGGTGATTACTTTTTAACAATGAGTTAAGGGCATATGGTTAAGGGATTTTAACACTGAAAATGCAAAATATGCAAGGTGTGCTGTGAAGCGTCATATAAAGTCCTATTGATCTACTGTGAGCCCTTTCGATACATGTATGATTGTAAGTTGTAGTCTTACAGGGCTTGTTCCCGACATGGTAATCGGCAGTCATGACTTTCCCTGTTTTTTTTCAGGTTGGAAACCCTGCTTTTCCGCTGATCATAAGCAATTTCTTGCCGATCATTGATCGGTGATCGGCTGTTATTTCAAGCTGTGTCTTAACAATTTTGAATTGATTTCAAATGACTAAACCCATGTAATAATTATCCCATGCAACTGTTGGGAAGGGCGAAATTTTTAACGGAGGAAGAAAATCCTAGCCTCCTGCGCAAACGTTGTTAGTGGCCGAGGCAGAAAATCCTAAAGGAAAGGTGAAGTTTCTAAAGGGGGGCGAATTTCCTAGGAATTTCGAGTTCCGTGAGGGTGATATTACTAGGAATTTAGGGGGGGGGCGAAATTCCTGGGACACCGGCGAAGTTGTAAAACACGGAGTGGAGTGGATTTGTAAAACGCGGAGTCAAAAATTTGTAAAACGCGAAGTTTTGTAAAACGCGGAGTCAAAATTTGTTATCATAAATTAAAGATCAACTCACTCCCTAAGGAATAGTTTTATATATTACCGTAGCATAACACCTATTGATTGCAAGTGTGCTCTGCCGCTTGCCAACACGTGCTTCTTCTGAGGTTTGCGTTGACACCTGAATTTTGAAACCTTCCGACCAAAATCAACTACATATTTTGGCATGTGCGGTCATGTACGGAATATATTTTTATAGCCTCGTGTGATTGTAAGCGTTATTTTAGAATAGAGGGAAGCTTTGAGCTTCCAAAACTTGTGCCGAAACAAAAGAAGGATTTTGAGCTGCCGAGATTTCATGATTGGGCAAGTATATCTAAACAGAAAAAGCTTGGATCTGGCAGTTTCGGTTCTGTGTATCTAGCTAACATCAATATGCCTCGGAACAAAGGTCGTAAATGTGGTACAAGGAAGAGGAAAGGATCCTCCAAGGAAACCAACTGAAGGTTTGCCTGTTGTTTCCAGTCGCGTGATCGCAGCCACGAAGGTTTGCCTGTTGTTTCCAGTCGCAGCCACGCCAAGTCAATCAACTAATGAGTAATGCATTGTTCAGCCAACTGAACCAGAGGAGTCATATATTGCGTCCCGTCATATCATGATCAACCTCAATTTCCACTGACTAACGCCGGCTTCCAACGTTGCACGATACCAACAAACAAAGCCCTTCATTGTGGTTTGACACCGACAACCAACGCCTTCCAAGGTGGTTTGACACCGACAACCAACGCCTTTCAATCTGGTATGACATCGACAACCGACGCCTTCCAAGGTGGGTTGACACCGACAACCAGCGCATTCCAAGGTCGTTTGACACCGACAACCAGCGCCTTCCAAGATGGTTTGACACCGACAACAAGCGCATTCCAAGGTGGTATGACACTGACAACCAGTGCCTTCCAACCTGGAATGACAACCAGCGTCTTTCAACCTGGTATGACACCGACAACCAACGCCTTCCAAGGTGGTATGACACTCGCATATATTCGTCATGGCCAGCGATCGCCAATTGATCCAATAATATATCAAGCACAAATCAGTTCTCTTCCAACCTACCACGCCCAGCAGTTTAGTTCAGCAAGACAGAAACCAGATTTTGGTTCATTCGCATACACGAGACTCCCATCCAGGGTTAATTGGTCAGAACTTGAAGCTAGGTTTTAATGATCCAAATCAGTCATATAAGGCCTTCCATTCTGAATTTACTAAAATATACAACACGTGTTTTCCAGTTAAGCATATAAAAAGAAAACATCATTTTTCAAGTAAACCATGGTTGTCAAAAGGAATTTTAAAATCCATAAAAAGAAAAAAAGTTATATAGACGTCACTTACGTAACCCTACACCTGAAAACGATTCGTATTACAAAAGATACAAGAATAAACTGAATCATTCAATAAAGATTGCCAAATCATCATACTATGCTAGTAAATTGCAGAATATGAAATCTGACATGAAATCTACTTGGAAGGTTCTCAATGAGATTATTAATAAAAAGAAATCAAAGCCTACCATAAGTTCATTATTTAAAATGAATGATAACACGGAGATCTCTGATCCAATTTTAATTGCCAATAAATTTTGCAACTATTTCACTAATATCGGCCCAAATCTTGCTAAGAAAATAAAACCTTCTCAGTCACATCGTTTGTTTCTTTCTGGATGTTATTCTCAGTCTGTTTTTCTTGATAGTATGACCTCCGCTGAAATTGTTGTAATTGCTAAATTGTTTCAATCAAATAAGTCAAATAAAACTGCTTGGTAATGATAAAATTCCTATGTCAATAATTAAACAGTTTATTAATATCACTGCAGAACCACTTTCTCATATACTTAACTTGTCCAATGTCCATTGCTAGTGGCATTGTTCCTGATGACATGAAAATTGCATGTGTAATTCCCTTATTTAAAGCAGGTGATCGTGCAATATTCTCAAATTATAGACCAGTATCTATACTTCCATATTTTTCAAAGTTTCTTGAAAGGGCTATGTATTATCGTTTATTGGCATATGTCGATAAATTTAAGATATTATATGATAATCAATACGGATTTCGCAAAAATCATTCAACTTCACTTGCTTTGATCGATTTATATGACAAGATTTCAGACGCGATTGACAGAAAAGAAACTTCTGTGGGGATTTTCCTGGATTTATCTAAAGCCTTTGATACTGTCAATCATGAGATTCTATTTGATAAGTTGGAACATTACGGAATTCGCGGCTTGCTATTGCAATGGATAAAAAGTTATTTTACCAATAGAACCCAATTTGTTCAATTTAATGAACATCGTTCATCTCCTAGTGCTGTTTGTTGTGGGGTGCCTCAGGGTTCTATCCTTGGCCCTTTATTCTTTTTTACTTTATATTAATGATATTTGCAATGTGTCACAATTAGTTGAAACAATTTTATTTGCTGATGACACAAACATTTTCTTTTCACATAAAGACCCGCAATATGTAATTGATTCTTTGAATAATGAATTGGAAAAACTGTCTGATTGGTATCATGCAAATAAATTGTCGCTTAATACGGAAAAAACGAAATTTATGGTATTTAAACTTAAACCTAGGCAAAAAAAAATTCTGCCTGGATATACAACTATTTATTAATAATAAGTGTATTGAACAAGTCAAGGAAACTGTGTTTTTGGGAGTTATTCTGGATGAAAATCTGAGTTGGAAATCGCATTTTTCGCATATTGCTAACAAAATATCAAAATCTATTGGTGTAATTTATAAAGCTAGTTTCTGTCTGCCACTAGAGTCTCTACATACATTGTACTATTCGATGATTTACCCTTACCTACAATATTGTGTTATTGTTTGGGGACTAACGTATCCTACTAATATTCGTCGCATTGAATTACCGCAGAAACGTGTAATTAGAATACTGAATAAAAGCGCATTCGATGCACATACTAGCCCTATATTTAAGAAGCTTGGCTTATTAAAACTGAATGATATTTGTATGCTACAACTTGGTCAATTTATGTTTCATCATAAATTTTCTCTTTTACCTGAACGATTTGACATGTTTTTAAAAAATGATCAAACTCACACTTTTAATACAAGAAACTCCTCCAAGTATCATGTAGGGCATTAATGTAGGTACCTTCATGTAGGACAAATATCAGACAATTTTCGGTGCGCTTTCAAGGTGCAAAATTTTTCAACTCTCTTCCTCATGATCTGGTTGACATTGTGTCCTCTATTTTATTTAAGAAAAAACTAAAACTTACAGTATTTGTGTTCAATTTATTAATAATTATGATGTAAAATTTTAGTCTGCAAGCTGAAGCACGTCTGCATTTCATAATTTATTAGGCCTAATTGTGTTTTTTATATATATGGTGTACATTTAAAGGGAGCCTAAATTTATATAAGCCTTGTGGTTTCGTTTTGGGCTTCCTGGTCACCAACATGTTAAATTTCTATTTTTTTGTATAATTGTTGTGTTCATGTAATCTTTACGTAATGTGGTGTTAAATCAAATAAAATCTGAAAATTAAAATTCAATGCCTTGATAGTAGAGTGTCACGTGCTATGCCTATGAAGAACTGTTGAATCCATGAGGTGTTTTGCCTCCTCCACCAAACGATCTAGTTCTGACAACTAGGTTGCACAGGAAATACTATAAGGATGGGCAACTACAAATATCACCAACTATCTCATCAGTCTATCTCCATGTCAGCTCGTACTGTGCACGAGCAGCCCTCCCAGACTTTACCCTGGCATCGTGCCACTTCCCCGACGATTTGGCTCCATTTCTTCAGAAGGAACACTACGATCTATTAATGTATTCAAAATTAGGACTACGTTTTGCAGAACTTGTAGATTCAAACGATCTCGAGTTTAGATGTTTGACATAAAAAGAAAATTGACAAATTAAAACTGCTGCTAAAGTTACCGGACACGACGATTTTTCATTTTAGCACTTTGATAATTGCTGGTTGATTACCATCTGTTATTCTGTTGCAAATAATGCTTAGTGAAACTCAATGAGAGACAAGATATTCATATAGCCTGTCGGTGCAGAATACTAAAACATTCGATGGGTATATTAATGATAAATCTGCTGAGTGCAGTAGAGTGAGTGCTATACCAAGTGTGACCAAGTGCAAGGCTATCAAAATTTCAGGAAGCAAAATCGAAAAAGTATGTTTTGTACGCACTTTGCAACTGTTGACCTGATTTGACAGTAAAAATCACGCGAGAATCATTTCTCGTCCTTGTGTACAGCACTTACTTTATAAACATACCTTGATAGCTATAAACATACCACTCTCGTAATAGTACATTTCCTGACTACGGTCACGGACAATCCCGATTCCAGAGACGATAGTCTTCTTTTTTTTGTTGTGTTTTGTTTCGTTATGTTTGTAAAATAGCACTAATTAAAAATAGTCGATGAGATCTGATATATAATGCAATTGATAAATCTGTCGAGTGATTAATAGAAACCTCGACAGGTTATATTGTTGGAATTCAACTATATAAAATGGTATAATATAATAGAACGACATTAGTTTTTTTAACAATTTTTGTCGCCGCGTTTTACAAACTTTGTCTCCGCGTTTAACAAGTTTTTGACTCCGCGTTTTACAACATGCCGAATTTTCCGCGCGGAGCGGAATTTTCTGTCTTTTCCAGGCCGGGCGCTGTAAAACACTGTGTTTTGTCTTTTCTAATTAGTTCCACCCGAGAAATCACAAGACAAAGAAAAATTCCGCTCCGCGCGGAAAATTTAGCCTGCGTGCAGCCAATCTCGTTCCCAGAGTATGCCTGTTCGCGGGTCATGCCACTACATAACCCGCGAACAGGCATACTCTGGGGACGAGATAGGCGTGTAGCCTGACTTTGAGCGCTCTTCGCATATGTGAAAAACTAGGGGCGCTTTCCATTTCATGGCCTGACCGGTCGGACCCGAGTTTTTTTCTCTGTGTCAATGGAAAGATCTGGTCTATGTTTCTCAAATATCTAGCGAAAATGGACCTCATCCTAATGTTATCTAAATTTTCCGGTCAGATAGGTCCGAAGCCCAAATGTTTTGTGTTTCATTCAACAATTTGACCGTTCTGGCCGTGTTAATGGAAAGCGCCCTAGGACTAGCCTACAGACCGGACGTGATTTAGCAACGCGACGCGAATTTTCAGTTTTCATTGGCATTTAACTTTAATATTTTTCAATGTTTGTCTGCATATCTTGTAAAATGGTTATCCGTTGACGGTTTTATTTGTTTTTGAAAACTGAAAATTCGCGTTGCCGGAATCGCGTCAGGTCTGTGTGGGCCTTATGGGTTGACTTTTTCTTTTGTGACTTTTGTAAGAAAATATAACAATGGTTCAGTTCACAAAAACTTTTGGCTTTCCAAATACCGTAAACCTCCGACTATAAGCCCTGGGCTTATATACTTTCGTAAGCGATTTTTGATAGGCTTATACAAGGGGGGGGGGGGCTTATATACGGGGGGCTAATACATGGACCCTTTTTTTGTCAGTAATAAACAAGTCAGACATAAACAAGTCAGTCATAAACAGGAAAATAAACATGTATAACGCGCTTTGATTCACATAGTCGGCTATAACTTAATGACAATGTTTTTAAATATTGTTCTCTGCTATATTAAAAGACAATCTCAATGTTGAATTTTCTGGAAAAAATCACACGACAAAAACATACACACTGAGCGAACAGTATCCAAACTCCCCCCGCCCCTTTCTAATTGTCCGTTGCTGCACGAGAAACCATACACTATTATACTTATTAATTTGGAAAAACGTATACTCGTGAGTTTTTCAGTTTTGATCGTCTTTGAAAAACTCATTCGTACATTTTTTCTAAGTTGCATTGGAAACCATACTGATTACATTTTACTTGACAATGATATTATATCGTTCTTGTGTTTTACTCTTGTCTATATATTGTTCCTATATAACACATTAACACTAATAAATATAAGTCATTAAAATAATCAGTCTGTAAATAAAATATTTTATATATCATATAGCTATATACCCTACATTTCTTGTAAATAAACATACTAAAAATAGTCTAGAATAAATATTCAAATAAAAATTCCATACACGAGATTACATGTGCTATTAGCCTATGAATCATATGGTACGAACGTGTATCCGTTGGCGTTGTGTGAAAATAAATGTCCTATTTCACGATTCTATTGTTTCTTTTGTCGCTGCCTCTTCTATACGAGGGATGCGGGTAATTTCTTTCATATTCTCTTAATCGTCGCTTATTGTGGTCTACTTAGTAAAGTTCGGGTGCTAGTCTCACTTAAAAAGGAAACCGTTTCATAAAAAGTAGTAGTGGCTTGATCGACTGGAAGATTGTCCGGGTATACGCACAAAGGTGGACAAAAGGAGGACGCATTATTTTATATCTCGCTGCAGAGCTAAATCACGTGACTGTATTGCTATGTGTACGTCAAAATAGCTGCGATATAATCTAACAGTTTCGATCTTTGCGTTCGACAAAGTCAAGGTGAAGAGCTTTGAAAATTTCTTCCTCATCTGTGGCAAGGATACGCTTCGGAGGCTAGGTAAAGGAATATAGTTACAAAATTACAACCGTCCAAAAACATAACTTGCTCTGTGAGGTTTGTAAGCCTTGTTAAATGTAGGATATAACAAGTGGTGAGTATGTACAGCCTGTACTTGCATCCGCTGGCACAGCGCTTAATAATTAAACCAGCTTGATTTATACAGGATAAATCTGTTAGTTCCGTGGTCTCTAAATTCTACTATTTACAGTGACTCTACAGTGGTACAGTGTGTTACCACAGGAGGAAACCTGAGTAGGCCTGTGAGCTAATTGAAAAATACTAAAAACACTTAACGTTTCAAGTGACGGAGGGTCGAAATGTTGATAACACCACAGTGATTAAAACTATTATATACTCAGTTCCCGGCTGCTTTGTTTACACGAGGCAAGCCTTGTTACGTGCGATGTAAAATACACTGCACAGAGAATTGTTTAAAATGTATTTTATCCAACAGGGGCCGGTTGTCCGAAAGCCGAGTTCAGTAGGAGTCTGACTCAGTACTCAGTAGGAGTCTGACTCAGTACTCAGTAGGAGTCTGATTCAGTAGGAGTTCCTTCTCTGCCATTTTGAAATAAACAGACATGCAGAAATACAAACTAAAACAGCGGGTTAAACTTTAAACGAGGATTAGCGCTAATCTAGCTTTGAACAACCGGTTTTTGTGCTAATTAGGCGTAAACCGGAGTACCGTTAATTAGACGGCCAGCCAACCTCAATAAAAGTGTCTCTAAAATGCCATTGATGGCATTTTTTGTTACAAGCTGGCAACTGGCATAGCTTAGACACTGGAGAACAACGTTTGATAGGTTGCCACCTCTGATATTGGCTTTAAAGTGAAAAATTTTGAGAATCTGAAAACTTTGCCTGCTAAAATTGCTATATTCACTAAACTGTGAAATTTGAAACCAACTTTCAGCAAAAATCACCTATAAACAGAAAAGTCGGAAAAAAGTAGATATTTGGCTAAATAAATCGTATTATACTCGTTTAAATGTCTTATATATACTTTTTTATGCTCTTTCTAACGATATAAACGATGCTAATTTAAGTGAACTTCAAATTTCACATTTTTGGGGAGAGTATATGTAAATTTTCAAATGCTTAAAATTTTCTCTTCGTTCGTCAAAATCAGAGGTGGCAACATATCAAACGTGACTTACCAGTGTCTAAGTTATAAGAAAACGCTTGTTGTTTGCTTGTAACAAAAAATGCCATCGACAGTCGTATTTTGATCGGCTGGCTAGCCGTCTAAATGTACTCTTCGTCTCTTCCTATATTTTTTTAACTGTCTTTGCCAGTGTAGGTAGTGCCAATCAAATGATAGTAACTGGCTAGTAACTCCAGATGAAGGGCCTTCGCTCGAAATTCTCCTTATATAGCTTCTTCCTATATATTTGCACGACACCTCAAAGTCGCTAAAGGGTGGTGTGAAAAGTGTATTTGTCTAGAAAGAGAGTTAGAAATTTGGTTTCGGCTCACCGTTAATTTATGATCCCACATTCCATGGCTATTGAGATGAATCTTCATTTCTTTCCAAGCATAAAGTCTTAATGATCGGTTAAATTGCTGTTTGAGATATTGAAGGCATTGACGTTAAATTAGTAGAACCGTAAAAATTAAACTTGTGTTGTAAGCTTGGTATAGTATGGTATGGTATGGTATGGTATGGTATGGTAGCGTATGGTATGGTATGGTATGGTATGGTATGGTAAGGTATGGTATGGTATGGTATAAAATATGTTATCTTCCACGTTGTAAGATACATGGCGCATGCAAATATGACAACTATACGCAAAAATAATTGTTCACAATATTTTAGCAGAGAACCTTGGATCCAATCCATCCAAGCAATGAGAAAGCATATTGAGAAGAAGGTGTAATAATCAAATCAACACGTCGAGCAATCCAGGAATTACATGAATCATTATCAGTTGCAGATTTTTCAACTTTCATGATCGCAAAACATCGGTCTAAATTGTCCATTGTACTCCTAGTAATGAAGAGCAAAAGTCCTCAACACATATTACATAATTATCATGCATATTACATCAAATATTACGTTTACTTATATCACCAGCTTAGCCAGGACTATTTATCTTCACAACAATTGTGATATTACTGTCCTAATTTTGTTTATCCAAACCACTCTGTCAACATTCCCTGTGGGAGGAAACCGGAGCGCCCGGAGAAAACCCACGACGTTCGGCAGAGCGTTGACAGACTCGTCTCACATAGTTCACATGAGTCCGTAGCGAGAATCAAACCTACGAGGTGAAAGACGCTTGCTCTAATGACTACGCCACTGAAGCCAATGTCACATCCTACAATGACTTACCGTGTATACAGACAACCTAAAATGAGACCATTGAGACAAACCTGGTTTGAGTTGCTTTAGTTTTTACAAACGTTTCTTTACGGACGACATTTTTACCCACAGATAATGCAGTATGGAGCATACAACCCTATAAATGAATGAGATAGAATATCATGACATGGAAATGTGGCAGACTGGTGGTTTTAATATCTAAACCAAAACAAGCAGTAACGACAGTGCACAGTAATACAAGTAAGTCCATTGAAAGTTAAAATTTGGAGGTTGTTTATATGTAGCCCGGCTATCTGGGCTGTTTCGTGTCACGAAAATCTTTCCATTGCAACAAGCAGTTGCCACCATATGACCACCTTTTGTTGCAATTTTTGTTATTATGCATTCGTGGTCGAAAAATAATTGTCACAACTTATTCAGTTATCAAAGATTTTGGAAATTATTGGGGGGGTTGTCCCCTCTCCCCCCCCCTCCCCCATGGACGAAATTAGTCAGCCCGGACACCCAGGCTAGGCTATCTCATATAAACAGCCTCTAAAAACAACAAAATGTCGACCGACATACATATCAAGCGCGAAAAGCACAATAAACGTGTGTACTTTTTATCGTCAGTGGCATTTTACACAACACATTTTCATATTCCTTCTTTAATACTCGATTGTACATAAACAAGTCTATCTATATATTGTGCTTTACACGCTTAAAAGTCGAGGTTTTGTAGTTTTCAGTTTTGACATTCAAAGAAAAATTCCTTTGAATTTAGCTTATATGTTACGTACCAACGTAGTCAAGCGATTAACTAATTTAACAAGCAAGCCTTCAACTTTGTCTTCTTCTGGGTGCGAAATAAGAATATCAATGTCGTGACCGCATTGTTTACCCCTACAATGAAATTTCAAGAGTTATTTCCTGAAACAGGGGAACAGCTAATTAGCATGCAAATAACAATAATTAAACCAGTGATATCATTTAATACTATACCTGCCAAAGCCACCAACAATTTCGGCAGAACAACTAGGCTGGATTAAATCAAGCTGGAATCAAGAGTAAAAACTAAATATATGAAAAGATAAATTTGTGGTATAACAAGGATTATAGTGATATTTGTCTTGACCTTGATCGTAGCTTAGTGATGGAGTGAGGTGAGAAGAGGAGAATGGACAAAATGCCTTTACGTACTCAGGAATGACACTTGTCTACAGCGATTTGCTGCTTCTAAATCCTCACTGCTGAATTTTCTAGATGTTAGAAACTTCTGGTTGTCAACTACTCTTTATATGCTCACATTAAATCTACCTATATGCAACTGAAATTGCCTATACATATAAACTGCCTATATTTATGTATACATATAGAAATTGGCTATAAATATATAATTTATATAGAAATTGGCTATAAATATATTACGTTGTTTACCTGCTCTACAACGAGACGTTGAATTCTTAAGGCATCTGGCATATCAACTGGGGCGTTTAGATCGTCATAAAACTCCACACCTAAACAATGAGAACAACTGAGTCTAACTCAAATAAACCTTAACGTATTAAAAAGCAAAGTATTCTGTCAAGAATATGCGAATTCCATTATGTTTCGGCAAACGTTTCCATTATTTTCCAAATTTGTAATGCCGCATGGTTTTGCCTAAATAGAGTTGAACAATCTGGCAAGATTTGTCTCGACAATCAATGTCAGATTTCATGGAACAATCCGGCTGTAGCCGCTTGACGAGCTTTTTTTTCAAGGTTCACAACAACGTGCTCTAAATTTGTCACAGCAAGAAGTGCATCTTGCTATTAGTATGAAGACATAACTACTACAATTTGTTCCCAAGTCTTAAATAACTTTTACGAGTGTCCTGTAGTTGAGAAACACAGATTCTTTTTTCGATTTTGCCTGAGACAGCTTGTGTTGGTAACACAGTAATTATAATGCATTTCAGTTCTGCGAACGACTGGGTTCCATTTCTGATATGCAATTGCCTCATTTGCATAGGAAAGAGTGATGTTCTAGTTCGACTTTACCAAACAACACCGCTGGTTTTCTTCGGGAATCCCTGTTTCCTCCTTTCAATAATTACGTCACGCGAATACTTCACTCGCCTGGAAGCTTCGCTCTCATGAATCAAGAAAGGCTATGCGCTGACGATTCATGAGAACAACTGAAGGCTTCTGGGCGGGGTTTTTTTTCAACTGTTCTCCCTCTTGGGACTCTTACATGGGAATGAGTTAAGATCTGATCGTATAAATCACCAACATATTAATTATCACCCACCATACTTCTGCTGAACATTGAGATTTAGGATTTCGGCGTTATCTTTAATATCTTGTGTCGTCCTATGGCCTAAACTATACCACTTGTGAGCAGTTGAAGGACCACATCCATATATTCCTGTAAATAGCTAAATGATAAACCAAAAATTAGCACGTTGTGAAGATCTGGCTTTCCGTACTTCTGGAAATCGCAATAAAACAGATGAAAAAGATTGAAAAATAACCTCAATAACGTGGAACATCTCACACGAGATAATATCCTGGACTTCCTCAGAGTAGCCATTCTCCAGAATGTCCTAGTATAATAAAACCGTATTTTCAGTATACATAGGTACCATTTACAATTCACGAGGAAATAATTGGTCACGTGAAGATAATTCTGGGCATGTTTCGTGTATGTTGCTCCAATTCTAGACGAGATTACTCTTCTCTTGGCCAAGAACTGAATAAAGTTTTGATATTGTCGTACGCTTGCTAGAATGTCCAGGAAAAAGTGAACACGGGTTGAAAATTGGACATCATTCTTTCGTAATATGTTTCAAGAATGCAATGCTGGCATTATAACTACAGTACAACACGATGTTTTAATAATTTCGTTATACGAATAGGCAATACGTAGAGCCTCATCGTTGAGACTAAACATTTTAACATAGGAATAAAAGTGAGGACTATTAGTATCATTTAACTTCGATTTATCAGTCTGAGGGAGAGTCTGTTTCCACCTAACTGCATATAAATTATATGCCCATGCAATATTTTATTTCAAATGCATAAATTTAAAAGATGTAACAAGGGAGAGCACGTCAAATACCGTTATAACTCTCAATGAATGTTCTCCTACATGTGTTATCTTTGATATCTCATCTATTCTTGTAATTTCCCTAAAAAAATCGAAGCCGAAGGTCATTTCAACCAAAATTTGGAAAATAATTTGAGAGTGCATGCATGCAAATTAACTAATATGAATTTCTGATATGATGAATTATGAATTAGTCATCGTGTCCTTCACCATGGCTCTATAGTTGGTTTCTTTAACTCCTGAACTGCAAACTTAAACATACAACGTGATGGGTTATAGACTGCATGTATTCCACAACAGAATATTAATAATAGTTCAGTACACTCAGGTTTCCATGGTTTTTTTTGTACGTATATTGTCGTTTCTTTCTTCTAAAACTGTTCCTTAGAAATTGCAGGAAAATGGTGTGTGTCAGTTGGAGTAAACGTGATATTGCGCCTCCTATAAATGTATATAACACTCACCTGGGATATGACTTCAAAGCACACGAAGCTTTTCTAAACGCAAGTGCTCGTGATTCTCCATGTTCACGATCAATGTAGCTTGCATGTTTTTCTAAGATTTCAAAAGCTTCCTGTAAAATATGCATTTCCAAATTATTGTGTTAGCACTTAAACTTAATAAAGCAACTTTTATACATATATAGGAATAATATACGACAGGAATTTTTAATTGTAAACGTGCTTCGGCTTTATTTTATGCCATCTTCAGTACAAGGTTATATATATATATAAGCTATATAGATGCAGGGTGTATAACAAAATTACACATGTTCTAAAATGGCAAAATTTGTGGTCTGTATCTCTATCACCAAATTAATTTTGAAAAGTAAATGCTTGAGTTCAGCAGGGCTGTTTTTAAAACCACTTTAAAAATGGTTTGAGCAAAATATGGTAAATTTGAAACGCAATTTGAATTGAAGGTGTCTTATATATGAACTATATCAAAGTACAATACCAGACAACTTGATAAACATTATTTGTCCAAAGCGCGACCTCTATAAAACGTGGACTTTTTGCTATAGCCTTTCTCGAATTTAAACCTACCATTTTGTGCGCAAGTCATCTTAAAGTATAGTTTTGGAAAACAACCATGTTGCACTCGAAAATGTACTTTTCAGAACAAAAACCAGAAGATCCCAAATTACCCATAATAACATAAAGTTGCCACAAATTTTTGAGGAATTTTCGGTTTTAATAGTGACATTTTAGAACTGTGTACTTTTAAGAACTGGGGCAGTTAAACAATGGGAAATGACCAGCCTGCTTAGCGCGCACTGTTTGCCTACGAATCGGGCCTTTCAGAACCGGAAATCGGGCTGGAGCACGCGTTCGTTCTTTTGTGATTTGGCAAATGATGTGAAATAACAAAATTCGCACGGTGCCCGGTTTGCAAAAACAACTGCAAACTGCTCTAATTCTTTCTGTCACTTTCATTTGATCTTGTCCGTGAGTCGGTCTCAACGGCCTTTGATTCTTATATACCCTGTATAATATGTACTGTTTTACACGTTTCCAATACAGAGAAATCATATACATGTAAAATAGTGTTAATAATAACAAAGTTTCGGATTGATACAGGTATGATTTTCCCTATCCCGCTACTAACTTCCCAACGAAGGTAGGGCCTACTGAAATTATCACCAACACTTGTCAGGACATTCCATGCAGACACGGCAAGATTTGTTCAAAAAAGATTTCTGAAATGTAGCAGTCTTACACATGCAATGGTGGATTAAGTATATGGATCGGGTTAGTTCAATATAGCTGCGTTCTATGCATGTTTTAAAGCACGCATATATAGTGTTTTATCATGAGATATAAAAACGAGTGCGCAGCACGAGTGTTTTATATCTGATAAAGCACTCCTACGCGTGCTTTAAGTGATTTAAAAAACGACCATCGTATGAGTTGTTCATTGGCGAAGTAATTTTTAAAATAAATGTTAATTGTCTAAGCCGAGAAAATTAAAGCTAAAGTTTATGTAAATTAACATGTCAATATTGATTTTTTATCATACAGGGTGTCCCAAAAAAAACGAAAACCATTGAAATAAGTATTGTTAAAATTTGAATGCCCTAGCACTAAGCTGAACGCAAAGATGGGTAAAATATTGACAAGGGTGCATATATTAAATATTGACTTATTAAGAAATTAAAATATCTTTGTAAAGCGCACGATTTTCTGCTGTTGGGAATTTAAAGCAGCTTCCTAACGGTTTCTTTATGCATACAATTTACTTATGTCAAGCTTTGATGCACGTGTGGGTTCACCAAAGTGCCGAGGCATTCAAATTCTAACAATACATTTTATTTCAATAGTTTTCGGGTTTTTTGGGACACCCTGTATATAAAACTACCGACACGGCTGTAATTTCATTTGTCTTTCCTCATGAGTCGTAAAGATTGAGTCACGATCTTTCTCATCAGCCGAAATAGAATATTTTAGAACTGAAAAGACGAGTTTTTATAACTAGATTATAAGATTATAACTAGTAAGAGAATACTTATATATGATTTATATGTTTTACATCCATGATCACCAGAACTGAAAAGACGAGTTTTTGTGGCTAGCCCGTTCGCGGGCTAGCCATTATGTAACGCTAAAAAACTTTGTAAGAGTTGTGACGGAAATTGTCGACTTCACTTCGGAAACTGTCGTTGGAATTTTTCACTTAAAGGAAACGGTAAGTTATTGCAGTCGATATATATGTGTTTATAATTTGCGAATATGTCATTTATAAATAAAAACATTGCTATTCATGTCTGCTCTGGACAACTCTAGCTGGACTCTGCCTCTTGTCTAAGAGATTTTGATCCGCACGCTTCATGTAAAGCTTTATTACTTCATAATCCTGTTTATAATTTAACCTGCTTGCACAGATCTTGAATTTTAATATACCATTGTGCGAGTATTTAATTGAAGAAGCAAGCCCGTTGCTGTATCAACTTGCAGGTATAAAATTACAATGGACAATCGCCATTTATATAGACTAACTTTAAAACTAGGCATGGAGATGCAAACAAATCACCACAGCTAGAAAGAGCATACTAAACTGAGTAAAATTGCAAAGTTTGGTTGCGAAATGTTGTAAAATGCCGAAAATATAGCCTTGCAAATTTTGTATACTTTTGTATTCCAATTTCCGCACGCAATACAAAAGTATACAAAATTTGCGAACTTTGCAAGGCTACATTTTCCGCATTTTACAACATTTCGCAACCAAACTTTGCAATTTTACTAATAAAAAATCAGTCTATAATGGGAATTGTCTATTATTAAACACCGAAAACAGGCTGGACTATTTTATATTACTATTGTAGTCACTGACATCGCTCTGACTGCAAATATGGGTGCTATTGTTGAGATCTATTGTTCAAGGATTGTGTCCCACCACAATTTCACACACAGTGCAAGCTCAATCTGTTTACGTACAGTTGAAGGATCTTGTAGATGGAAATAATCTAGTGGAAATGTATTTTGTTTATTGTTAGTTAAAATGTTATTTGTTTGCAAATTTGCATTAGAAAATGCCAGAAATGCAGCCCTGGAGCTTCAAAAATGTAAAAAAAATTTGGGGGGTCCCAGACCCCTCATAATTTTCTTTGGAACTTAGTATGATAGTGGAAATCAATCAGAAAGAGCTCTATTATAATTATTACACATCAGGTAAATTTTTAACATTGAAGTTCAAATTTCAGGTAAATCCTCTGGCTCTGACCTCCCCCAACTTCAGATACTTTGCAAGTCCCTGAAGATCAGTGCAATCACCATACAACACTAAACCTTGCAGTTGTGAGGGTTAGGTATATGAAAAAGCAAACAAACAGCCATTGTGCTGAGATCATATCGACAAGTCTCAACATTTCTTTCCAGCATTTTAATAACAGCAGTGTCAATGGAATGAGTAGCATGTTCATACTTTTATAGCTATGTCATTTTGTTTAAATTTATACCTGTATCATTTACAAAATTTCAGTCTTATGATCTGCCTTAGCTAAATATTTTGTTCTTTTTAAACAATTTTCAGATAAAAGCACAATTCAAAATCATGGTGACTGATAATAGGTGACTGGTGATAATATTGGATAAAATAGGAAGATCAGAATGTGCAAGTAGCAGGGCAGTACAAGTATCAGACAAACGTTTTAGTGGTGATGACATGATAGATAGATTGGTCGGATAAGTTCATTATAAAATAAAATTCCGATGCTGTTAGATCTTACAATAAATAAAAAAAAATGTTTAAAACTCTATCTAGTATTAGATATTATATTGTTGAAGAACTTTGAATTTATTTAAAGGTTGCGATGCCAACAATTCAAGAAAAGCTAATAACTTTTAAACCAGATACCAGAATATACTTGTAACAAGAAACCCATGCAATGAAATATAAATGAATTACTGGATTGTTTAGACATGCATTAACAATACCTCTTACAATATATATGGCCTTATATTTTTGTAGAATGAAATTTTGAAAAGCAATAAATTGACATCATTAGTTGCTGTATATGCTTATTATTAAAACAAAACATTTAATAATTAAAGTGTGACTCAATAATGTTGTTCGCTACACCATTGCTATCAACCATTGCTTTTAAATCGAGTGATTGTTATAGCCATATGTTGACACTGCAAGAAAGATACTGCATCTGTTTTATTTTGACCATTATATTCTATTGTAATTATTAATTTTGGATCACAATGAATGTTTGTTATGAATGTGAACTCCTGCCGTATTAAAGAGGCTGAATAGGCTAGCCACATGTACGCAGTGCGTACCTATTTTTATAACTAGATTATAAGATTATAACTAGTAAGAGAATACTTATATATATATATATGATTTATATGTTTTACATCCATGATCAGGTTATAATAAACTGGCCGTTGAGAAAGATCGTGACTCCATTTTTACAACCATTACGACAATATGGCAACCAGGCTTTAAAACACGAGCAGGAGTGCTTTATCAGATATTATAAAACACGAGCAGGAGTGCTGAATCAGATATTATAAAACACGAGCAGGAGTGCTTTATCAGATATTATAAAACACGAGCAGGAGTGCTGAATCAGATATTATAAAACACGAGCAGGAGTGCTTTATCAGATATTAACTATATTATAAAACACGAGCAGGAGTGCTGAATCAGATATTATAAAACACGAGCAGGAGTGCTGAATCAGATATTAACTATATTATAAAACACGAGCAGGAGTGCTTTATCAGATATTAACTATATTATAAAACACGAGCAGGAGTGCTGAATCAGATATTATAAAACACGAGAGCGCATGCACCTCAAGTGTTTTATATCTGATGAAGCACGGACTATACGAGCGTGTTTTAAAAAAATAATGGCTTAAAAAACGACCCATCTATAAAGAGTTCATTGGCGAAGTGATTTTAAAAATAAACGTTGTCTAAGCCGAGAAAATCAAAGGTAACGTTTATGTAAATGAACAAAAATCATATATATAAAACCACCGACACGGCAGTGATTTCCTTTGTCTCTTCCTCAGGCATGAATTATTAATGATTTTTAAAATATACCTATTCAACAATTCTTTCGTTTAAGACAATAAAAATAAGAAGATAATTATAATATCATATGCACTACAACAGATCAAATACACACACATATGTATAGCAATATTGAACTCTGGTCTCTGCCTCACTGACTGTTTTTAAACATTCTCATTTCTCAACAATACATTGACTAAAAATGATTGAGTGTAAAATTCATGTACTTACAGTAAATTTCTTATTGTGGTGATTCAGCGGGGTACGGCGTTGGCATTCATATTTTGTATCCTGTGCAGAAACAGAAGCAAAGTAATATTTGAGAATACACAGTTGTAGGACCAAGATTCAAGAAAGTATATACCCACTTCAGAAACAATTATGCATGACAAAGGACATACATGCAAGGCAACTTTTACCATAAGTAATACAAATAATACCAAACAATGCATTAATTGGCATGACTGCAAATACAAGCGAGAGTGATATACTGAAACCACACTATACTGAAATATTTTCAAAACAAAAAGTACTCAAATTAAACGATATAACGTACAGAAGGTTCGATATTTGGAAGAAAGTATAGACAAGATTTCAGTATAATTTTGTCAATCTTAAAACTTGCTTGTTAAAACGCATATGCAATTTCTGTCAAACGTGCTGACTCGTATTTTATATATACGATTGCCAATATTGTCGTCTCTATACAGGCCGCCATTTCCACACTGATGCTTTAATACGAAAGGCCTATATATGGTATATACAAGGTCACCAACCGCTGTCCTTTTTTATCCACGCGGTTTTCCGTTGTTGCAAAGTAGTGATTTCCTAATATTTTTTGTTGAAATTTCATCTTTGCATGGGTTATATAAATTTGAAGCGATAATGATGCTTGGTTCTCCAATGATGGATAGAAATCAATGATATATCAAACGATCAGAGATAGTGCGTGTTGTTTTTCTTCATTACTGCATGATTAAATGCAGCCAAACCATTCAATTACTTTTTGCGTGTTTTTCCATTGGCCCCATTGTTTACGTTTAAAATTTCTCTCAAATTGGAATTGATTTTGTCGAGAATTATTTACTCAGTCAAGTTCACTTTTATAAATAGGAATGATCGATTAGCCTGCACTTTCGGTTGATTTCGAATATATATAGCTACTGTATAATACGATATAATAATTGTGCTCAATACAGTGAAAGTAGAATTTCTAGAACAAATAACGACAGGTACACTTTGTGCTTTTTGACTTTTATACTTTCTGCTTTTTCGGTTACATATGTACGCCGAATCAGTATTATTTAATTTAAATTCGATACATTATATATATATTGCGTACAGTTTCCAATCTGAATATTTTGTCTCAATTTCCATGTCAAAATAGAGTTAAACGTGAATTCCGTCCAGAGAACAAACATATAGTAGTAAGCGTATAAATAAGATTTCCAATTCTATTGATGCATACGTCATACTTTTTCGGGTGACCCTTAAGCTATTAGAGATTAGGCGTTTAATAGAGAGGGGCGTGTATCGCAAAATGTTAATTTGAACGGGGCGTTTATTAGAGTGCAAGCGTTTATTCGATCATTTACAGTAATCCAATTATTCGTTTTCGTTTATGTGTCTGGTACTTACCTGGTACGAAAAATGATCAATGTCCGATCTCGCATCTGATGAATGTTCATTATACTGGATATCCTAAAGAGAAAGACCACATGCACATCATCTTTCTTACGCCTACAACCTGAGTTTATGCACAAATATACTTAAGATTGTATAGTTAAATAACTACAAAATCAGGTATAAAGGATTGTAGGAATGATGAGCCCATATAAGGCTCATATACCGAAGGCAATGGACCATTTGCATTATAGACTAAATTTTGGTCTAGACAAAAATTTCATCACAACTTGAAAGAGCATTACAAAATTAGTAATATTCCAAAGTTTCGTTGCGAAATGTTGTAAAATGCGGATAATATAGCCTTGCGAAATTTGCAATTTTCAGTCATTTTGTATTACAAACGGGAAATTGATGCCCCAACACCCAATTGGGTTGTCAATTTCCCGTGCGTAATACAAAATGACTGAAAAACGGCAAACTTCGCAAGGCTATATTATCCGCATTTTACAACATTTCGCAACGAAAGTTTGGAATATTACTAAATTTGTGATGCTCTTTCAAGCTGTGATGAAATTTTTGTCTGGACTTGTCTAGATCAGAATTTAGTCTATAATGCAAATGGTCCATTATGTTGTGAACTATTTTTAAGACGAGATATTAGTATGTTAGATTTTTTTAATTTTAAATTTTTGATACCTTTCTTAATCAACAAACTAAAAGTATGTTTAGTACTTAATCGCTACGCCAAAGAGAAAATGATTATTGATGTTCAGACCTGCCGGTTGTACGAAAGGTAGCCTGCGTGCAGCCTCAACCCGAATTTTTTAAATATCTGCACGCAGGCTATACGAAAGGCGGATAGCGCTATCAACAGGACAGTGATTTTATACTTTTGTGGGATTTCTATATCATTCGTGATACCAAGATTTGGTTTTCTGGACCGTACCATTGCTATGTTCCGTCGTCAGGATAGTATGAACTTGAAATTCATTGCTGCAATCTGACTTGTAAACATTTGAGATCATATGTTGACACTCATTGGTAATATGATTAATGTGTTATATATGAGCGTTTTGATGTTACGACGTACAAAAATGTTATGACTGCAAAAAACGCCCAGCCTGGGCAGCAAAATATTGTATGGGCAGCAAAATATTGTATGGGCAGCAAAATATCGTTCAAGCTTATTTTCATCAACATTGTTGCAGGCTTGGCGTTTTTTGCTGTGTAGTTACATGGTGTATTTTGATCTGACGTGACGTCGGAAGAGATTGAAATGGCGTGAATGCAAAAAAAATTTGTTGTCTTCATGTCAGTGTTTTCATATGGTTCCATGTTTCATGGTAAGCTATGACGGATGTACGAAAGCCGGATATAGCGCTATCCACCGGACAGTGATTTTTTTAAGCTTTCGTGAATTTGTCCGTTGACTGGTATAACCCAGATTAAACTTTAGTATATAAATATTAAAGTTTCTTGTTTTTAATTGTTGGATCCATATTCGTAGTTTTATCACTTTTCAAGCATTTTTCAACGGTTGACAAATCGCAGGTAGGTGGAAAACTGAATAGAAACAGCTATATCAGTTGGATTCATTCCATTTCCACTTGCAGGTTGTGATAGCAAAAAAAACATTATGTACCTTTCGATGTCATCCGAAATCTTGCATAGTAAATGAGGTTCAATCCTATGTTTGTCTACCACATCAAGCAACCGACATTGCGTCAGGCAAGCAGTTAGCCCTAATAAACGAATTGACGGACAGTTATTAGCAGAATGAAAATGTTTCTTTTGTTAAATCGAATTTAATATATATATATAGTGGAGGAAACATATATATTAAATAGTCAAAGTCAAAACCACAACAGGGGCCAGTTGACATGAACTGAGTGGAAATGACGAAATGCTGAAGGATCGAGACAATTATGTGGGCAGGTTTCTTTACATGCATGGTATCCCACCCGAAAATGTTTGCTTTCTGTTGTTCTCTAGTCTAACACAATATTGTAGCATTTTCTGAATCCAGAAACGTGTTCACTATAGTAACAGCTAGTTTCCAGTAGCGAAGTTAGCCATAGGAACAGGTCATGCTTTGCAAATTTTTAATGACTTTATTGTCATTTTTTTGTGTTGGTGTTGTGCACTCAGGTGAATCATGTTTGTGACGTTACTCTGAGTGTGCATCCACACCGGGCAAGCTTGGAAAATATGCCTGGCCACGGTGGGAATCGAACCTACGGCCTTTGGAATACTAGCCCAATGCTCTGCCAACTGAGCTACGCGGTACTCACCTAAGTACACAACACCATGAACACAAAAATCATGATTATTAGATTACTTTGATGTCGAAGGAACTAGACTCAGTTCCAAAATATCACATACTCGAACTGTCCTGACCGGCGTGGCCGCGTAGCTCAGTTGGCAGAGCATTGGGCTAGTATTCCAAAGGTCGTAGGTTCGATTTCCACCTTAGCCAGGCATATTTTTCAAGATCAGTCATTCGGCCTATGACTATGAAGGTCGTCTCAGCTAATTCCAGTTTTTTCTAACAGACCGTATCGCTAACCAAGTTATTAGTTCATAAAACCATAGTGTTATTCTTTAATTAAATCGATGTCAAAATACGAAATTTCAGCATACTCCTTGCTAAGATGGCGGAAATTGAAGGAGCTATTGACGTCAGTTCCAGTCCCTTTCTATTGTTTTTGACTGCGCGGTTAACATGAAGATGGCTTCACTTTCTGGACTCGACTTTATGGAGCTCACTGGAAGTCCTTAATGGCACTGAGTGCAAATGGTATAACAGTTGCTAAGTTATACATACATGCGTCATTTACAATTTCCACTGTCTCCAATGACACTCTACAACAGAATCGTTAAAACGTTTCTAGACATACAAATGATGCTTGAGCTATAATTTAATTACAATATCTGTATGGAGTCGTATACAGGTCCATAAAAACTATAAGAAATAATAAGTGCTTCCATGCATTTATATTTTACATATAATAGCTAGTGAAGACATAACTAAAACTTCTTATTAGTGATTTACCGATAATCGGTATCGCCAATTTTTGCCTTATCGGTAGACAATCGGAATCGGTAGAATGATCTATATTTCCGATTGTCTAAAACACATTGTTGAGAAAATACGCACTTTAAAAATTATATGCATTGCACGTTGACACACGTTGCGTTTTAACGCAACAGTTGAACTAATGCGTGAAGCGTGCCATTTATTAACGGTTTTAAATAACGATCTTTGGGTGCAGTAACATGTTACGTTGGAAATTATCGTTAAAAATCGACATGAATGACGTCACCTTTACTCGATGGACTGATATTATGACGTCATTATAAAATCGGCATCGGGTAGGTTGTGGCATGAATAATCGGTAATTTCAGATTGTTCCACAATCGGTCAATCATTACTTCTTATTTAAAAAATCTAGATTATGTAAATTTCTTCTTCTGCTATACTGCATGTCTGAGTTAAAATTTCTGTTTTCCTTAAAGATTGACTTATAATAAACTAACAATTCAATTAGACGTGTAAAAGGATTTTTATCGTAATCCAAGTTAACAAATTCCGACACTTATACATGCTTGGGCATTTGATCAGTTTGACTTCAAATGAGTCATGCATGTAACTGTTGCCAGTTTCTATACAAGAACATACCTCTTCAAATATTGGTAAACTTTATCCCTTGTTTCAAATTTCGTCACTATGTGGGTAACAGAGTCACTGAAATCATTAGAATTAAAAGATAGTTAAAGATTGCGGCAAATTTACAAGAAAGCGCATCCTGAAAAATACAAATTCCTTTGAGCAACTACAAGTTTAGTCTGCTCGCAGACTGCATCCCGCTCCCCCCCCCCCTGGTTCATGGGATGACTACCACCACCGGGGAGAAGGGACAGTCTTCTGTGCGCAGACTACTGCAAGTTTAACTATATTCCAAACATTCTTTGGTGGGTGAGATTTAATTAGCCAGGCTTACACTCTTATAGGGTTAGTAGTATAAGAAAGGTGTCACAGAATATTTCTCGACTTAGTACAAGTAATCAAATAAGTAAATAACTAACAGGGGTCGGTTGTATGAAAGCGGGATAACACTATCCACCGGATAATGATTTTTTCAACATTTCAAAAATTGTTCATTGCAATGTAACCCGGATTAAATTTTAGTATTTATAAATTAATGTTTATTTTTATTAATTGTGAGGTCTATGTCCGTATAATTTTATAGCGTTTCATTTTTACAACGGTTGAAAAACCACTAGAAAATTAAATTTTACTCTGACTATTACAAGGTAAATTTTATTTATTTAACCTATTTCGATGCAGGTTTATTAGCACAGCGTGACTAGTTGCCATGGCTAGCTTCGCCATTGGTTTAAAGACGAAAGTGTTAAACATTAAACTCATTAATTACCCATAGAACATTTTATTATATAGTAGAGAGTGAGATATTGAAAAATACACAGTGAGATATTTCCCATATCTTCACTAGTGAAGATATCGATCACGTGACTTTTTCCAATTTGCTTTTGAGCGTGAAATTTCACAATTTCTTGCTTAGGACTATATAATAAACAGGACATTACACGATAGCTTGAAGATATGACTTTTATCTTCTCGTGTTAAAAACAATATTTTACTTACTCGCTGCGCTCGTTCGTAAAATATTGTTTTCACCACTCGAAGATATAAAAGTCCTATTCTCGCGCCGCCGTGTAATATCCTCTATATATTCATTTAGCTTATGTGCTGCTTTGTTGAATACACATAACTTTAAGCCGCTACAAGTTAATCTTCAGTTTCCTGTCTAGTGCCTGCCACCTATATATGGCCTTTTTCAAAAACAGATTTTGTGTATACGGATTTCACAGTTGATGTTTTAACCTTGCATGACGATAAAATGAAGTGTTTCATGCAAATACCATAAGATTGCGCTAAAGGCCTATAGTTCAGTCACTCCAGTGGTGTAACTTGGACCTTTTGAGGGGGGGGGGTGAAGCATCCAGATTTTACCGACTAAAATGGGTGTGGCTCTCGACAACTATAGGCATGGTTTATCATAGATATTAGCGAACTTAAGATGAGCTAAATGCCTAAATCTAGTACGCAGACGTAACAAAAAGACAGTTACTTATGCTTTTCTTTTGGATTTGTCACCAGTTTAAATTTGTTTTTCACCTGTATCCTTCTTTGTTGACAAATATAATCCATATTTTTTAATCGTGTTGCTGCGAATTTAGGGTATGTTTCTTGTTACGTCCGCGTACTAGATTTACCACATCTTAAGCTCTCTATTAATAAGTACAGCAGACAGCACATAAAGATACACACTTCGTTTGGGTTTGTAATAGTGCAAATTTATTGATCCTTAAATTTCGACTGTGACTTTGCATAATTAAAACTGTAAATTAAGGCTGGTGTTTCAGATGAGAATGCTGCAGATTGACAGGAATACAAATACAAGGAGAAGTTTGATGTTTTAAGTTAGTGAAACATTCTGACAAACGGCCTTCGCTCGAAACATTGAAGTTTTCCTTGTATTTTCATGTAGTTGTATCCCTATCAATCTGCAACTTTCTTATTATTACCTACACTGGCACAGATAACATGCTATGATTTCTGGGGACATAGGACATAATGCTAGACAAGTTCCAATGCAAGTCAACTGTTGTAGTAAGTCTAAAACAAGAAAGTGCCTGTGGAAGAAATCAAGACCGGATTTTGGTGGAAATGCTGGGGCAGGTGGAAATATATGAAATGTTAGGACTTAGAATGTAGCCCCTATTAAAGTCAACTACGTGATGTATGCATTGTATCAGTGTATTTGTGAATTAAGATTCATCCAATATTGCTCTTATACATCATTACATTACTACAAAGTTTATTTTGAAATATTCCATCAAAAGGGCACTTGATGTAGAGATGATGAATAGTTATCAGTTTTCAAGTGTAGACTCTAAGCGACGAAATATCTTCATTTTGATCTATCATTGAACTTTCCCCAAGGGGAGGTGCATGACGTTTCAGGACAGGTGCAAAAAATCTCAGGAAGGTGTGATACAATCTCTGAGGAGGAACAAAAAGTGCTCACCTACTCACACCTCCCCTCAAAATCCGGCCATGGAGGAATTAGCTACTGGACATGCAGAACACTGACACAAACAACCAATATGCCAGTAAATAATAGTGATAAGACATGTCTTACTCTTGTTTGCAATCATGTCTGAAATTCGACAACTTGGAAGAAATTTCATGGCTTGTTTTTGATGAATGCTCACTTTGGTGCCACATAAGTTGTGTCAATTTAGTACAAATACCAGATACAATTGTGTTAATAATTAACTGTACAGATTTGGTGAATACTTAGAACTAGTAAATTTCCTTTCCAACAGAGATCTCTGCCAAGAGTGGAAACTTTTAGTCTTGCATGTGCAAAAATTACCATTATTTGTGAGCCACTACGGCTGCCAATCAAATGCATTTTATGTGCATATAAATTGGACACCATGACTTCAATATCATGAAATTTGAAGTATTGCGAGGGTCAATTTTAATAATATATGGTTCTTTGCCTGCTACACACTTGTCATTTCATGTTCAAACATGAAGGTTGTAACTTTCTATTCTATTGTCAGATTGTCTTTTAGTACAATTCCAAAGGCCTTAATTTAGTGAATTTAGTCACCAGGGCTGATAACAGGAAAAGATTGAACATGCATGTACATTATTGTACAATTGGTTAATTGTTCATTTCTATTTATATCGTTAAAGAGTATAATTTATATTATCTTTAACATGACAGATCAGTGTTGGCAGTATTTGAATAAGAAAACCTGCTCTTGTCGGCAACAAAAAATGCCATCAACAATTTCATCTTCAACAGCAAAATTGCAAGGACTGCAATTGTGTACCCGGTGTTGTGCGTAAATTATACACTGCCAGTCATATAGGGGTGTTTAGATCCAGTTTGAACTTCAAACAGGAACTAAAGGCAGAGCATTTTTTAAGAATCCGTCCGTGGGGGGGGGGGGCATCTACAAAAACTGACCACACTATACTTGTGTGGAGAGACGACAGATTGCGACCACTCAAAGCCCGATAATAATTTGAGTTGAAATAAATAGTCAGTTTTTTGTCAAAGTAAACTAAATGATAGCCGACGCATGTACATGTAAACAAAAGACATTTTACATCATGATATTTAAGTCTACACTATAAGGCTCTATAAGAATCAAAATAAGATAGAAAGTAGCAAAGAAAAAGTAAAGCATCACAGCAGAAATTTACCTAGTAAATGAATTTGACAATTCGGAAAAGCATCATTTTTAACTGCATGCATAATAATTTTATGTCAAACCCGGAATAATACCACATTGATATTGAGAGAACTCTTGCTAGCTTTTTCAAGATGTCAGGCAAGAGGTTATACTCAGAATTTGTGGCCGAATGTACTTTAAATTAATTTTTTTTGTTAGGTTAAATTAGATCAATTGCATGTAAATCACGGCAGATCATGCATTCCTATATTAAGTGGAGCTTTATTAATTATAGAAATTAATGTGTTGAGATTGTCAGCTTAACGCTTGTTCTCTACAACTAAGAAACTTTCCCAGATGCCATTCCGTCAATTCCGCCAATTCCGTCAATTCCGCCATTCCGTCAATTCCGTAAAATACACCATCCGCCCTAGGACTGCATTTCGTGTGTTTCCTGAAGCAGATTCTTAGATATACAGTGTTACATTATACTATAGATATCCGAATCTCAGACCTCTCACACCACGTTTATTAAATCTCACGCATATAGCAGTTTCAAAGCATTTTTTCAATAAATAAATACCGGTATAATATTGTATTTAAATGCATTAAATGCACATTATTAATCATTATACAGATTACGAATCGAATATATAATCGTGTGTTATTGTTCCTGCATATACAGCCCAACATTATGGCTTTTGCCCACAAATTTGGATACAAAATAGTATGCATATGTAAATACAGCGGACAAAAGGAAGAATCAGTCAGAGCAGAATTCTATATGTAAATTATCAAAGGCAAATTAAAGCTCATTACTGTATGTCACAGAAATACAGTTATTGTAACTAAGGGGCCGACCATTTAACTTTTGAGGGGGGGGGGGGGGG